TAAGTAAGGATGCACACCGTGGAGCTGGGCTGTGTGGTTTAGGTCCCAGCTTGCCGCTCAGTAGCTGAGAAACCTGGGTCAACCGCCACCATCCAGAGTTTTCTCATCTGTGTTGTTGTCGTTGCTGTTGTGTGCCCTCGAGTCGATTCTGACTCATAGCGACTATAGGACGGAACTGCCCCATAGGGTTTCTAAGGAGCAGCTGGTGGATTTGAACATCCAACCTTTTGGTTAGCAGCCTGAGCTCTTAACCACTGCGCCATAAGGGCGCCTTCTCATCTATAGGAGAGGCTGATAATAGTGACTATCTTTGGGGTTTTGGTGAGGATTCAGTGAGATGGATTGACACAATAACTGCAACAATGGATTCCAACATACCAAGGATCATGAAGATGCATGGGACCAGGCAATGTTCCCTTCTGTTGTACATAAAGTTGCCATGAGTTGGAAGCACCTAACAACAGCAACAAATGAGTTAACATATCCAAGTGCTTAGCACACTGTCTGACACATAAAAAACACCATGTAATGTCTTCTGTTATTATTATTGTTTATTAATTTGGCGCCCAAATAAGTGTTCTTGGATTTGAAAGGGTCGAGTTCTTCACATGAAGGGTTTCTCTGTAATTCTGCATTTTGTCATCTGGGTCTTTCCGGCTTATAGATTGCGTTGGTTTTTGGATTGTCCATCATGAATTGAAGGTGTTTGACATCCTGATGGAAATGGTGGTGGGAAAGGAACGGAAGCTCCCAGGCTGCTGGTGTGGGTTATTCTTTAAGGAAAGTTGGCACTTGGTGGTGGAGGTGGCTCTCCAAGTTAGACGCGCATCACAACACCTGTGGGGTTTGAATATTTCGGATGTTAGCACATTACCTCTGAAGAAGACGTTTGTGGACTTTAAACTTACCTCTTTAATGTATCCCCCGGGGCCGCCCATGGACTTTTGAAAATTACAGCAAGTAAAATGATTCATTTTGCCTCTTAATTTTTATGACATCTCTGTGGAAACGGTTGAGAATGTCTGGATTTGTCAGTTGTCGAAACATGCATCAAAGTCTTCCCCACGACATCACCTGCCTCTGAGGCCACCGGGTCCCGACTAAACTGTCTCCACCGTTTCCAGGAGAGGGGATTGGATATTGGGGTCAGGTCCTGGGCCGTGAGGTTGGGCAGCCTAAACTTGAATGTCTGGTTTTCCGATTGCTAGCGGAGTTTCCATAGACAAGTTTCTTCACCTCTCTGAGTTTCAGTTTCCTCATTTGTAACATAAGGATAATAACAGTACCTGCCTCGTAGGGTTGTTGCAAGGGTTAAAGGGGGAAAGTCTGTAAAGCCCTTCACATGGTTCCTGACATGGGGTCAGCACTCTACACAGATGGGGACTTTGGACTTTGCATTGTGCTCGTTGTCCTCTGTGGTAGATGGATCCTGATCAAAAGGAGGAAAAGCGTGGAACAGAACTTTAAACTCTATGAAAACTAGACTTAGTGGATCCATTGCGATTGGGGGATCCCCCACATCTAATGTCCAGAAATAATCTTTAAACCCTGAACCTAAACTATCCCATGAAGCCATTGTTAAACTTAACAACAGTTCAGCCCAATTAATAAAGGATATTTGCCTTGAGCATAGTGCTCTTGGAAAGAGTTATCTGTATGAGTTGAACCTGACAATAGTTAATCTGAAGCACAGCTGAGAACTTGAAGGGGCAGAGAGCCTGAATTAATGGTGATGAAACCATATGGGTAGAGGGAATGGTGACACACTGTGATGTATGCAACCAATGTTACTGAGCTGTTCGTGTAGAAATTGTAAGTGGATGTGTGGTTGGTTGTGGATATTGCCACCAAAATAAAACTTCTTAAAAGTCTTCTGTTGTTAGCTGTCTTCACGTCAGCCTCGGCTCACGGTGACCCCACACAAATGGAACGAAAAGCTGCCTGGTCTCGTGCCATCCTCAAGATGGGATCATTGTGATCCATAGGATTTTCATTGGCTGATTTTCAGAGGAAAATCACCAGGCTTTTCTTCCTAGTCTGTCTTAGTCTGGAAGCTCCACTGAAACCTGTTCAGCATCCTAGCACCACACAAGCCTCCACTGACAGACGGGTGGTGGCTGCACATGAGGTGCATTGGCTGGACATCAAATCGGGGTCTCCAGTGTGCAGGGCAAGAATTCTACCACTGAACCACCGTGGCCCCCAGACCAGCAGTACTGCATCCCCTGGGAGCTTGTTAGAAATGCAGAGTCTCAGGTCCGCCCCAGAACTGCTGGGCCAGAATCTGCACTTGAATGAGATGCCCAGATGGTACTTGTGGGCGTTCCTTGCCATTTGCAATTGCTGCTCCAGGCTAAAACGTACAAGGAGGAGAGCTTTGCTTATGAAACTTGTTGGCAACAGCAGGTATGTTGGCACAAAAAGCCATCAGCACCAGGACACAGCACCAGGACACGCTGACCCTCACTAACTGGACATTCTTCTCTTCTTTAAGTTATTGGGGCAAAATGTAAATACCGTAAAACTTTCCAGTTTAACCATTCTTGAGTGTACAATTCAGTGAACCTAGTTACATTCATCATGTTGTACAATGATCCCTGCCATCTATTTCCAAAGCTTTATCATCACCCCAAACAGAAACCCAGTGCGTTTCACAGTAACTCCGTACTCCTCCTCTCCTCCCAGCCCCTGCTAACCACGTATCTGCTTTCTGTCTGTATGCACTTGCCTAGTCTAGATATTTCCTATAGGTGAGATCATACGCTGTCTGGCCTTTTGTGTCTGACTTATTTCACTCTGCGTAGTGTTTTCAAGGTTCAGCCACGTCACAGCATGTATCAGAACTTCATCGTATGTACAGGCCACATTTTGTTTATCCTTTCTCTTCTGTTGATGGCCCTTTGGGGTTTTCCCACCTTTTGGCTCTTGTGAATAGTGCTGCAGTGAACATTGCTGTATAAGTCTCTGTTTGCATCCCTGCTTTCAATTTTTTTGTGTATGTCTCGGAGTGGAATTGCTGGGTCATATGTTAATTTATGTTTAACTTTCTGAGGAACCCCCAAACTGTTTTCCTACCTGGGCAACAAGTAGGAACATGTAACCATCCTGGGACTAAGCTTTTTTGTCTGTAAACTGAACCACTTATTTTAGGAGCTTGTCGAGAGGATAAAATGAAATAATGTGAAAATTGCTACACAAGAGTAAACGGGAAGCTATTTTTATTTTGTTTACTTAGAAAAAGGACATCATAGTTTTTGTAGCTGTTGTTAATCCAGTGTTTGAAAAATTCAGTTTCCAGCTTTCCACACTTATTTGGTGACGTGTACAAGGCATAGTGTTCCGTGTCCTGATTGAAGGAAGGAGGAATGACAGTGGCCCAGGAAACGCAAGCCTGGTATTTTTGGAAACTAAATGGGAGAGTTTTGTAATTTGGCTAAAAGGCATTGCCCTAGAAAAGACCAGCACGGGGCTCTTTACGCCTTTTACAAAATAGTCCCTAAACTGCAGTGTAGCATGCGACAGTGACCTACAGGAACCTCCACAGACCATCCCAGGTGGCGCACTGAAACAGAGCAGACGCTTAGCAGCCACAACAGCCTTTTATTATTTTCCAAACAGCACAATCAAAGCAGGAAACAAAGGTATTGCTTCTATTAGCAGAAGATCTTCAAGTACAAAAAATGCCAATATAGTCCAGCACAAGACCAATACACCACGGGAGACCGAAGACGCAGCCTAATATAAGAATTCATGAGAAGGAAGATGGGAGGGCAGGCAGGAGGCACAAACTCAAGTGACCCAGGGCAGGAGAGGGTCGGTGATGCTCGTATGACACCGCCATATGCCACGGTCTTCAGTAAATCTCTCCCTATGCTCACAGGAATGAACTGCTTTCCTTGACAAGGTACAGATGTTGTTAACAGGGTCACCCCAACTTTAACACTATGTCGAGCAATGAACCAGGATCAGGGAGCCAAAAAACCACAGTTCTCTTTCATAGATAATGTCGAAGAAATCATATGATAATGACCCAGTGGCTGTGATGAACAGAGAAAGATCCCAAGCAAAACCCCTGGCCTCTGGGCTGTTTTACAATTTCCCAAAGTACTTGAAACTACAGTAAGACAATTTCTTGTGACATCTTCTCTCCCACCACAATTTCCTCTCATTTTAAAGACAGAAAAGGAATAACGGGGGGGGAGGGGGTATTTTTTTTTTTTAAAAGAGTAATTTACACTTTAAAACAACAAGGTATCAAAATACTTCGTACAGGGGTATGTTCTGACGGTTCAAAGCACTTTCTCTCTCTTTCATTAGAATCTCGAAGGCTACCTTAGATTTAACGCATAAAAAACCCCATAACAGCCAAAACAATAGTGACAACAACAGCAGCCACCAGAAAATAGAAGTGGGAACACGTCCCCAGGCTGTTTATTTTGGGGCGGAGGGCTAGTGTGGGGAAAGGGTGGGAAAAGAGCATAGCATTGCCTTTTCCCCAAGATTCAACTGCATTTGGAAAACTGTTTGACCGTAAGTAGGAGCAACAGAGTATAAACTCATAGTTTCTCAGGAAACCAGAGCAAAGCCTCCCCAGCAGCTGACAGCCGGAGGTCGGTAGCTGCAGCAGTTTGCTAGTGAGAGGTTTGAACTGCTGTTAATGAGACTCCTTTGGCCTGGCCTGAGCAGAAGCATGAAGACGGTACGGATATGAAGCAGATAAGCAGGCAGGCATTGCAAACTCGGGTGTATAGAAGTGAATGCAGACAGCACTCATTTGGGAAATCAGAGTTCGTGACTTACCCACCCTGGACTCCTTCCAGAGAGCCGGAGAGACACCATTTGCCTTTCACAAGGCTTTGCAGCTTCAAAAAGAAAAAAGACATGTAAGGTCATGGCTGATGACACAATTTTTCAGTCTTCTAAGCTTGTCTTCTTCTTTCTAAACACCTCGGAGGGTCAGATGTGACCAGGTTCCTCACCATTCCCGTGGCCCTGGCGCCCTAGCCCAAGTTCATGCCGTGGCAGCTGCACAGGATCTCCTTAAAGGTGTTGCGTAGCTCCAGGCTCCGGAAGGCGTAGATGAGGGGGTCAATGACGGAGTTGCCCATGATGAGAACCAGGTAAGTGTTGAAGTGGGCAGTGTAGCAGACGCAGTAGGGGTTGGTGGGGCAGGTGATGATGAGCACAAGGTGGAGGAAGAAGGGGGCCCAGCAGAAGATGAACACCCCCAGCAGGATGCTGATGGTGACGGCCCCCTTCATGCATGAGTGCTGCGGCGGGGCCACCCCGTCGGCGGGCGGCAGGGCGGCGATGCGCTTGACATGCCGCCGGGCAAACAGGAACATGTGCACGTACAGCGTGCCCATGAGCAGCAGCATGGCAAAGAACATGGTGATGAGGCACACGATGACCATCTTGCTCTCCGAGTAGATGATGAACACCACGCCGCAGACGCTGCAGCAGACCCAGATGGCCGCGATCGAGCCGAGGGCCTTCCTCACCGTCATGATGCTGTGGTAGCGCAGGGCGTAGAAGATGGTGACATACCTGTCAATGGCGATGGCCAACAGGTTGCAGATGGAGGCCACCAGGGAGATGCAGATCATGGAGTCGAAGACATTGTCCATGTGCTGGATGAACTTGTCCTCGAAGGCCAGGTAGTCGCTGTTGACAATGGCGATCATGATGGTCTCCAGGGCGTTGGACACGCTCACCAGCATGTCAGCCGCGGCCAGGCTGCAGAGGAAGAAGTACATGGGCGAGTGCAGGTTGTCGTTGCGTACCACGGCCAGGATGACCAGGATGTTTTCCAGCAGGCTGACGATGCCCAGCACCAGGAAGACCTCGGGCTTGATGAAGACCTGCTCACAGAACCCGCTGCTGCTCTGGTTGGCCAAGGATGGGGCTACAGGGTGCTCTGAGCTGTTGGGCAGTGTTGGCTGAGCAGAGAGCAGGCAGCAGGAGACGTTCATGGCTCAAGAGGGCTGATCAGAGCTGAGGCTCAGCAGGTCCAGAGGAAGATGCTGCTGATCGCAGGAAAGAGAGGATCTTCCTGCAGATGCTCCTTTCGGGGGCTTGTCCAGCCTAGACTTAGAGTTTGTTCTCTCCAGAATAAAAGGATAAAGACAGAGAGAGAGAGACCGAGAGACCAACACATACACAGAGAGAGAGAGACAGAGAGCAAGACACACAGAGAGACAGAGACACACAGAGACAGGGAGAGACAGAGAGAAAGAGAGAGAGATTAGCTTGAAGACAGAGAACTTTCTTCTGCTTCTTGCTTCCCCAGGAGGAGCAGTTTTGTAGCCCCTCTCATCAGCTGGCTTCTTTCTCTTTCCCTCTTTGCCCCTCTCTCTGGCTCTCCTCACATCCCCATCTGGGCACAGAAAACCTGCCACTGGTTGCTACCGTAACGACTGCTTTCATAGCTAGGCAGGATGTGGTATCTGTAGCTTCTTAGTGGGGGGAGAAAACTCAGGCTTTATACATGGACCGAGGGCAAACAACTCCTACTGCATCTTCAGCGCTGCAGAGTGACCACTGAGCGGCCGGCACCGCTCTGACTGACAGCGGTACCTGGCTCTGGGGGCTTCCGAGGGAGATAACGAGGCAGGCTGGCGCCCTCTGCAGGCCAGATGCTGGAATGCTCGCTGGTTCGGCTGAGCAGTTCTTATTTGCCATGGGTGCTGCCACAAATCCATCCATCCATCCATCCGTCTGTCCGTCCATTCCTTTTTTCTCCAGCAGATATTTAATGAGCACCTACTAAGTGTCAGGTCTCTGCTGGGTGCAGGGAATACAGTGGTGAGTAAGACAGAAGGACAGACAGAGCCCCTGTCTTCCCTGAGTCTGGGGTAGGGGATGAGAAGTCAGGTACTTACCTTCCCGTGTGTTG